AGCAAAAATGGCCACCTTTGGATTCTTTATTAGCCAAGATAGACTGGATAAAATTGGCCACCTCCGGATCCTTTTCTGGCCAAGATAGACGGGATAAAAATGGCCACCTCCATACGCCTGTCTCAGATAGACGAAATATAATGGCCACCTCCAGATTCATCTTGGCCAGGAGAGACAATAAAAACACTTATCCACCACCTCCACCTCCAGATTCTCTTTGGCCAGGAAGGACAATAAAAAAAAATCCACCTCCAGATTCTCTTTGGCCAGGAGAGACCAAAAAAATCCACCTCCAGATTCTTTTTGGCCAGGAAAGACCAAAAAAAAAATTCTCCACCAGATTCTCTTTGGCCAGGAAAAAAAAAAAAAAAAAAAAAAAAAAAAAAAAAAAAAAAAAAACAGATTCTTGGCCAAATCGAGCGGCCACGTCCTGCCACGTGGACGGGGATAATCCTATGGCCCGCGCGGAGGGGGGAGGGGGGGGGGGACGGGGGGTCAGCTGTGGAAAAAGAACTAGTTAGGTTCCCGAGCGTAGCAACATGGCGCTACCGGAGACACGACGACTCGCTGCCCGGTCTGCCTCTCGCCTCTCGCTTCTCGACTCTCGCTTCTCGTCTCTCGCTTCTCGTTTGCCTCTCGTCTCGTCTGCTTTCGACTCTCGCTTCTCGCCTCATCTGCTTCTCGTCTCTCGCTTCTCGACTCATCTGCCTCTCGTCTCTCGCCTCTCGCCTCTCTCGTCTGCTTCTCGCTTCTCGACTCATCTGCTTCTCGTCTCTCGCTTCTCGTTTGCCTCTCGCCTCTCGCTTCTCGACTCTCGCTTCTCGCTCTCGCTTCTCGTCTCCTCTCTCGTCTCGTCTGCCTCTCGTCTCCCGTCTCGTCTGCCTCTCGCCTCTCGCTTCTCGACTCTCGCTTCTCGCTTCTCCTCTCGTCTGCTTCTCGCCTCGCCTACCTCTCGCGTCTGCCTCTCGCCTCTCGCTTCTCGCCTCTCGCCTCTCGCCTCGTTTGCGGCTGCCTCTCTCGTCTCGCGGCGAGAGATGGCGAGATAAAGCGAGATGGATAAAGGGCAGGGAGGTGTGTAACTATGTGTGTGTGTGTGTGTGTGTGTGTGTGTGTGTGTGTGTGTGTGTGTGTGTGTGTGTGTGTGTGTGTGTGTGTGTGTGTGTGTGTGTGTGTGTGTGCCGTACGCGCTTGTTGTCCACTTATTTTTATGTCTGTGTTGCATACCTACACGTATACATACATATTCTGCATAACTTTGTATAGGCCTACAAGAAACTAATTTGTATAGGCCTACTCTAAGAAATTAAAAGAACGTAAATTGAATATCCCAATTATGGACATTTTTGGTTCTGTTGATATCAAGTTGAAAGTTGTTTAGTTCTTTGTAATATGTGTAAATAAGTATGCCTATTGGATGTGTGATTGCGTGTGTGTGTGTAACTTTGCGAACGTAAAGAGAGTTGTAGAAGGAAGAAGGGAAAGTTGGTTAACAGAGAGAAGCAGAGGAAGAATAAATGACATTTATACACTTACACACACACACATACACACACACACACACACACACAACACACACACACACACACACACACACACACACACACACACACACACACACACCACACACACACACACACACACACACACACGCACAACACACACACACACCAGTCTGATGTCAGTTGCCAATTTTAGTGCAAACATCTCCACGACGGTGTTCCAGTGTCTCTTCTCTCTCTCTCCTCTCTCCAATCTCTCTGCTTCTCTCTCCTCTCTACTCTCTCTCTTGCTCTCTCTCTCCTCTGCTCTCTCTCTCTCTCTCTCTCTTCTCTCTCTGTCTCTTCTCTCTCCTCTCTCTCTCTCTCCTCTCTTCTCTCTCTCCCTCCCTCCTCTCTCTCTCTCTCTCTCCTCTCTCTCTCTCTCTCTCTCTCTCTCTCTCTCTCTCTCTCTCTCTCTCTCTCTCTCTCTCTCTCTCTCTCTCTCTCTCCTCCTCCTTCCTCTCTCCTCTCTCTCTCCTCTCTCTCTCTCTCTCTCTCCTCTCTCTCTCTCTCTCTCTCTCTCTCTCTCTTCTCTCTCTCTCTCTCTCTCTCTCTCTCTCTCTCTCTCTCTCTCTCTCTCTCTCTCTCCCTCTCCTCTCCTCTCTCTTCTCTCTCCCTCTTCCCTCCCCTCTCTCCTCCTCCCTCCTCTCCCCTTCCTGTCCCTCCCCTTCCCCCCTTTTGTCCGGCACCCCCCTCCCTCCACCCCCTCCCCCCTCCCTTCCCTTCTTCCTCTCTCTCTCTCTCTCTCTCTCTCTCTCTCTCTCTCTCTCTCTCTCTCTCTCTCTCTCTCTCTCTCTCTCTCTCTCTCTCTCTCTCTCTCTCTCTCTCAAGGCCTCTCCCTCTTCCCCCCCTCCCCCTCCCTCCTCCGCCTCCCCTTCCCCTTTTGTCCGGCACTCCCCCCTCCCTCCACCCCCTCCCCCTCCCTTCCTTCTTCCCTCTCTCTCTCTCTCTCTCTCTCTCTCTCTCTCTCTCTCTCTCTCTCTCTCTCTCTCTCTCTCTCTCTCTCTCTCTCTCTCTCTCTCTCTCTCTCTCTCTCTCTCTCTCTCTCTCTCTCTCTCTCTCTCTCTCTCTCTCTCTCTCTCTCTCTCTCTCTCTCTCTCTCTCCCTCTCCCTCCCCCTCTCCCTCCCCTTTTGTCAGGTACCCTCCCTCCCCCTCCCTCCCCCCTCCCCCTCCCCTTTGTCCCCCTCCCGCTCCCTCCCCCCCCCTCTCCCCCCCTCCCTTCCCTTCTCCCCCCCTCTCTTCCCGGCTCCCCCCCTCCCTCCCCCCTCCCTTCCCTTGGCTCCCCCCTCCCTCCCCCTCCCTTCCCTTGGCTCCCCCTCCCTCCCTTCCCTTGGCTCCCCCCCTCCCCCCCCCTCCCTCCCCCCTCCCTTCCCTTGGCACGGAGCCCTTGGAACCGGCACGGAGACAGGGTCTACGTAAAGTGCCATCACCGGTTCGTTACGAGCACTGAATGAGGAATTGGGTGGATGCGTGTGTGCGTGTGTGTGTGTTGTTTGGGGGGTTGGGGTGGGGTGGGAAGAGAGGGTAATGGGAGTGTTTTTTTTGTTTTTTTTTCGTTTCTCTTGTTTTGTTTTTTTCATTTTTTTTCTTTTCTTTCTCTTTCTCTTTCTCTTTCTTTTCTCTTTCTTTTTCTTCTTTCTTTCTTTGTCTTTCTTTGTTTCTTTCTTTCTCTCTCTCTCTCTCTCTCCTCCTCCCTCTCTCTCTCTCCTCCCTCTCCTCTCTCCTCCCTCCCTCCCTCTCTCCTCCCTCCCTCCTTCCCTCCTTCCCTCCTTCCCCTTCCCTCCCTCCCTCCCTCTCTATTTATCTTTCTATCTATCTATCGTACTTCGATTTTTTCCCTCTTTATCTCTCTACCTCCTAATTCCCGAACCAGAGAGACAAGAGTAACAAGAGACAAAGAAATTTATAGTCGATATTTTGGAATTTCCGCCGAGACAAGAAAAAAATCCATTGGCTGTAGATTCGTAAATTTAGAAATTATTCTTCATATTCTTCTAAATATGGAATAAATTTGGCATTTCAGACGCGGTGTCTGGGAGGAGAAATGTCCTTTTTTTCTTAAATATTTTCACGGGGTCTTGAAGGAGTCCATTATAGTGACAAAACGAAGAAGTGCGAGTCTCGGTTGAGAAACAGTGACGAACGACGGAACAGTGACTCAGCATCCCATCTCCTCTTTGACCCGGAGATAGTATCCATCATTTTTGTTTTTATTTTACAAAGACAAAAAAAAAAAGTCAGCATTTATAATGAATTTTTTTCCCCCTCTTCCTTCTTTCAGGGCTGGCGATGAAGGAAGAGAAGGGAGGAGAGAGAGAGCGACGCCCTGTGCACCTGCCTGCCACGCGAGCGACAATAAAACAAAGATAGAACTCGCGCATTCGGACGAAAACGCGCCTCGGAGAAAGTGAGAGTTGGGACTTTCGGGACCACATCGAGGAGAGGGGTCGTAAAGATAAAGGGTATTGATAACGCTTCAGATAGCCCCCTGTATCAGCCTGACTGTTGGTCTCCGTGTGATAAACTGGTGTCATTTGTGTGCCTGTGATGGTGAGGCAAAATACGACGATGGATGGAAGTTGCCTGGTGAGGGATCGTCATGATAAAGTGCAGGCGGAACGGACCACGGCTCTGTTTTTTGTTGGTTGTCGTAATATGTGATCTAAGGTACCGTGGAATAAGGGTTACCCCGCGGCCATTAGTGCCGCTTGAAGACTAGAGACACATAGCGGTCGAGACAAATGACTGTCGACTTTTTATGAATTAGCCACGACACGCAAGTGGCTAATTGATAAAAAGTTTTGATGCCAGGGAATCCTCGCGCTTTTTGAGTGGCGTTCGAGAGCGTGTCCGCGCAAGGGGTTCGGTGCCGCCATGGCGCCCGCTCGCGAAGGCAGGCGCCCGTGGGTGTGGGTGGCGGTGGCGCTCGGCTGCCTGCTGCCGGCCCGCCCGTGCGCCGCCAGCGTCCACTCGTCCTTCGGGGACAACTCGGGGATGTTAACCGGCGAGAACGCCAACGTGGACTACGACGCCATGACGGAGACCGTCGTCAGGCTGGCCACTGACACCACCACCCTCTCGGCCACCCTGCCGCCCTACTTCCAGCGCGCCGCCACCGCCCCGCCCGCCACCACCACCTCCTCCACGCCTCCGCCGCCGTCGCCGCCGCCGCGGCCTCGCTTCCACGCCGCGCCCTCCACCACGCCGGAGCCGCCCCGCATCGACGTGGACCGGCTGGGCAGCGCCACCCGCGTGCTGGTCGAGTGCCACGCGACCTCCGGCGGCGCCTCCATCTCCTCGTCGACGGGCATCACCGCGCCCGTGACCGCGGCGCCCGCAGCCGGGGCCGCCGCGGGGTCCACCGCGCAGCCCGAGGCGGCGTCCGTGGAGGGCGAGGCGGAGGTGGACCTGAGCGCTGGAGGTGGGCGAGGAGAGGTGTGCCGTGGAGCCCGTTGGGGGCCGGATGGGCGTGGTGGGCGCCCTGCCCGACTGGGCCTCCACCCTCACCGTCTCGGCGCCGGGCACGCTGGCGCTGGCGCCCGGCTGGTCGGCCGTCGCCACGGAGCTGTGGATGCGGGCGGCGGGCGGGCTGGAGCACAAGGGCGACCTCTGCGCCCTCATGCCGCCCACGCTCCGGTTCCTGGACGCGTCGCGCACCCGCCTGGGCGAGCTGGTGGTGGCGTCGGCCTGCGCCCCCCTGCGGCGCGTGGAGGCCGCCCACTCGGGCCTCTCGCGGGTGTCGCTCTGCACGCCCGCGCTCGTCACGCTCCACGTCTCGGGCAACGAGGTGTCGGCGGCCTGGAGTGGGGCGGCGTGCGCGGGCGGCGTGGCGGCCGTGGAGCTGCTGCAGGCAACCACAACGAGCTCAAGTCGGCCTCCACGTGCGGTTGGCCCAGCCTGCACACGCTCGACCTGCGCCACAACCGCCTCGCCGCCCTCGACCTCACCTCTGCCCGCCACGAACCTCACGCGCATCACCGCCGCCCGCAACCTCCTCCAGACGCCGCCCGAACTCACGCCCACGCTCCTGCACGTCGACCTCTCGCGCAACAGCCTGACGGAGCTGCCTGCGCTCACGCCCGCGCTGCTGGTGAGTGCCGCGCGTCTGCGTGCACGCGGCGAGGATTTGTATTTCATGTCGTTTGCCGAAGTGTAGTGGTATTATTATGAATATAAATACAGTATGTGTGTATATGTATGTACGTGTATATATATACACATATATATATATATATATATATATATATATATATATATATATATATATATATATATATATATTGTGTGTGTGTGTGTGTGTGTGTGGGTGTGTGCGCGCCGTGTATGTATGTCTACCACTATTTTTTTTAATATAGAATCAGTGAATCTTTCTTTCATTCCCATCATAATTTCCTTATAAAAAAAGAAAACTAACACGCCTGCAAACGGCCTTCCTCCAGACGGCCGATTTCTCGCACAACGGCATCGCGGAGGTCGGGAAGCACCGGTTCAAGCGAGCCAGGAAGCTCCTCCACCTGAAGCTGGCGCACAACCACCTCACGCAGCTGCACGGTGAGTTATTGCGATTGGGTGGGTGAGTTATTGTGATTGGGTGGGTGAGTTATTGCGATTGTGTGTGATTGGGTGGGTGAGTTATTGTGATTGGGTGGGTGAGTTATTGCGATTGTGTGTTTGATTGTGATTTGTGTGGGTGTTTGATTGTGATTGGTGTGGGATTGGGTCGGTGAGTTATTGCGATTGAGTGTTTGATTGTGATTGGTGTGGGATTGGTGTGGGAGTTATTGCGATTGTGTGTTTGATTGTGATTGTGTTGGATTGTGTGTAGGTGTTTGATTGTGATTGGTGTGGGATTGGGGTGGGTGAGTTACTGCGATGGAGTGTGATTGGGTGGGTGAGTTATTGCGATTGTGTGATTGGTGGTGAGTTATGCGATTGATTGATTGGTGGGTGAGTTATTGCGATTGAGTGTGATTGGGTGGGTGAGTTATTGCGATTGAGTGTGATTGGGTGGGTGAGTTATTGCGATTGAGTGTGATTGGGTGGGTGAGTCATTGCGATGGAGTGTGATTCGGTGGGTGAGTCATTGCGAGTGAGTGTGATTGGGTGGGTGAGTTATTGCGATTGTGTGTTTGATTGTGATTGGTGTGGGATTGTGTGTGGGTGTTTGATTGTGACTTGTGTGTAATTGTGTGGGTGAGTTATTGTGATTGTGTTTGATTGTGATTTATGTGTGATTGGGTGGGTGTGTTGGTGCGATTGTGTGTGCGTGGGTGTTAGATTGTGATTGCTGTGTGATTGGGTGCGTTTGTCGAGGCTTTTATTTAGAGGGGTTATTTATATTCCTTCCCTGGGTCTTAATGGTGCGTGTGTGGTTTTGAGACAAGAGTTCAGGCATGTGTCAAAGTTCTGTGACAACGTAAAGATGTTCTTCTATTGGGTGGGTTTTTGAAGGAAGAACGTGGCTTGACAGAGGGTTAAAAATAGAACCTTATGCAGCGTAGTCCCGTGCCACAGGCTGCAGGCGGACAAGCAATATGAAAGCTCAGGTCGCCCACGCACTCTCTCACTCCGCCCATCCTCCACAGCCCACGACCTAAGCGGCCTGCGGGAGTTGCTCACGCTCGACGTCAGCCACAACCGCCTGCGGGAGGTGTCAGCTGGCTCCTTCCGCCACCTGCGCCACCTGCAGCGTCTCCACCTGCAGCACAACCTCCTGACCACCCTCGACGCCCGTGATCTGGCAGCGCTGACGCCCCACACCCACGCCATTCTGCACCACAACCCGTGGGCGTGCACGTGCTCCCTCCTGACGGCGCTGCAGCAGCTTCAGAACTGCGCCACGTGCCAGCACCAGGTATGTCTGCGCTTGTGAGGCGAGGGCGGGAGGAGTGTCCTTGCCATTTCAGAAGAAATGGCTGTCATTTAGGCTTGACCTCAATGAATTTTCGTTTGGTTTCGCAAATAAAATATTTCATCCAAGTGGCAGATCGGCGCCACGCAGGGAGGAGTCTCTGGAGGGCCGCCTTCCTGGAATGGGCGTGGCAGACCAATGGGCGTGGCAGTCCTTATATACATGCTCTCTTCCAGATTGTGGGCGTGGAGTGCAAGGAGCGCGGCGAGTGGGTGGCGGCGCGGGCGGTGCTGCACTCGTGCCGGCAGGCGGTGAAGGACGTGACGCAGCGCCTCCAGGACGAGTCCGACGAGGACCTGTCGGAGGAGGACCCCGCGGACGACCCCCTGCGAGGCAGCGGCGACGACGGCGAGGGCGCGGTCATGGTGGTGCCCGGCCTGGTGGTGCTGCTGGTGGCCGCCGTGGCCGTGGCGCTCGGCTACCGCCTCTACCGCAAGCACCGCCGCAACGTCAGGGCCACGCTGGCGCCCTTCTGCTGCGGCTGCTGCGGCACCGTGCCCCCCGTGACCACGCTGGGCAACAACCACCACCACAGCCTGCAGCACCGCCACCTGCCCAACGCCGACAACGACTCCGACACGGAGACGGAGCTCTGACGCCCCGACGCGGGCTCCTCGGCGCTCGGATTCTGACGTCATCGCAGCCTATGACGTCATCACAGCATCCGAAAGGGATGAACTGTTTTCTTTTTTCTTTTTTTTATGCAGATCGTGATTATGTGTACAGCTGTGACGTTTATCGTGTGGTTTTGAGAAACTGTTTCTATAATGCTTTATATATTACGTGACAATATTGTTTTTACATAGCTGTGGCATTTGTAATGTTTTATATCCCTATGGCTGTGACAATGGCAGTGTGTCTGTGTGCGTGTGTGTCAGCAGTGAAAATCCCTTCAAATGCAGCTGTGATATCGATAAAAAGTATTCACCAGGAAGCTGTGCAGTTGAATGTTTCCCGTGTTCGATTCCTATTCCCGTGACATGCGAACACCCCGGCTGTGACTTCGCGCGACTGAAGGTGATCTATAAAAAAAATAATAAACTCGCGAGTGGAACACTTACGTAATGGAAGAAAATGATAAAACCGTGTGAGAAATAAAGAAAAAATTATATTACACAAATCTTACCCCATTATTGTGGCCAGAAGCGATCGATCACCCGAGACTCGCATGCAGTCACGTGGTCATGAAGTGCCTGTGACGTCACTGCGGCAGAAGGTAATCAGTCACCGCCTGCAGTTGCTAGCAATGGAAGCGATGTTTGCAACTGCTCTTTGCAACCTTATAGGTCTGCCTGAACTTCTGAGAGACTGCTAAATACTGGTCCCTATGAGTGTTTAATCTCGTCAGCAGTTCCATATTACATATATATATTTATAACCTGTGAATGAAATGTAAAGAAAAAATGAAATAAAGTGGAAAAATCTTGCGTTTACAATTTGTTATCCCCGGTGTTCATTTTTTGTGTTATAAATGTGTTGAGGTTTTGTTCCCTGCAAGAGTTACCAGAAGTTCCATGACCCTCAATTCATGACATTTGGTGTAAGTCGATCGTCTACAAGTCAGTTTTCAAAAAAATAAAAATAAATAATGCTATTTTTAGACTTTGGAATAAATTGCCTTCAGAGATTGTAACTTCTCCGACTCTCGATAAGTTTAAAAGATCAGCTAACATGTTTTTCTTACGTAATTAGCTGACTTTCTTTTCTTTCATTCTTTCTTAGCTGTATCTTGACCTGCACTGACACCTCTGGTGGTATATATCTCGACATTTTCAGTGTGGCTCTTGATATAACTTACAATAATAATGATAAGAATACGCTGTGTTATCTTTATGGTGACACTTTTGATGAAAGAAATTACGATCTTCACTATTATTTTGGTATTATTGTTTTTGTTTTGTTGTTTGTTCGCAGATCAGAATATTTGTTTGGTTCTGAAACGGACTTCCTTACATATTTTGATTTATTTTCACTAAACTACAAAAAAAAATATTGAATTACTTCATTTGCAAAAAAAAAAAAAAAAAAATCCTATGTACATTAAACATTTAACCCACACACCAAAACATTCACATTTCGAAAAGCAATATATATATATCCAGACACAAATTAATTGCCACTCGACCTGATAAAACATAAAAAAAATATATATATATATAGATATTAAAAAAAAAAAAAAAAAAAAAAAAAAGAGTTACGAAAAACAGTTCTCCAACAGAGAGCCCACTAATAACAACAATTATTCGTTGCCTTTAAACTTTTTTTAAACTTCATTTTTTTTCTCTAAAACATATAGAAACCCCGTAATTTTTCTCATATACGAAAGGGCCTTCTCTAGATTATCAGTTCCTCTATGCATAAAAATGAATATGAAAAATATGAATAAAAGAATTTCTCGTGTCAGTGCTCGAATATTATTAATATTATTATTACTATTGTTGTTGTAATTACTGTTGTGATTGTTTTATTAATGTTGTTGTTAGTACTATGAATGTTATTATTTTTTATAGTATTTATTATTTATTATTATTATTATTATATTTATTATTATTATTATTATTATTATTATTATTATCTTCATTATCATTGTTTCATTACCATTATCTTCATCATTAATGCTATCATAACGATTATCATAATCATTGTTTTAACTGTCATTTTGTTATTATTAGTAGTAGTAGTTCTACAATTTTTGTCATTGTTATCATTGTTATTACTTGTGGTGTTATCTTTATGACTATTATTTTTATTTTTATTTTTATTTTAATCAGTATCATTATCATTATTGCTAATTTTGTCATTGTCATTATTGTAATTATTGTTATTAATATAATTGTTCTGTTTTTTTTTATTATTATTATTTTTATTATTATTATTATCATTATTATTGTTATTTTTATCATTATTATTGTTATTATTATCATTATTAATATTGCTGATATTATTATTATTATCATTATTATTGTTATTATCATTATTAATATTACTGATATTATTATTATCATCATTATTATTGGTATTATTATCTATTAATATTGCTGATATTATTATTATTATCATTATTGTTATTATTATCATTATTAACATTGCTGACATTATTATTATTGTCATTATCATTATTATTGTTATTATTATCATTATTAATATTGCTGCTATTATTACTATTATCATTATTATTGTTATTATTATCATTATTAATATTGCTGATATTATTAATATTATCATTATTATTATTAATATCATTATTAATATTGCTGATATTATTATTATTATCATTATTATTGGTATTATTATCTATTAATATTGCTGATATTATTATTATTATCATTATTGTTATTATCTTCATTATTAATATTGCTGATATTATTATTATTGTCATTATTGTTATTATTATCATTATTAATATTGCTGATACTATTATTATTATCATTATTATTGTTATTATTATCATTATTAATATTGCTGCTGTTATTACTATTATTATCATCAGTTGCTACTTATCTAGCCTTCCACTATAGACGGTATTGCTTTGTTAATAACCTTGCGCTCTCTTGTGGATGGAGCTCTGAGTAACGAACGACGATAAATAAAGAAATAGAATGAATGATTGTGAGAAAATTAAAGAGATGATTGAGGAAATTGGAAGGAATGATTGAGAAAATAAGAAATAATGATAATTGAGGAAATTGAAAGAGTGATTGAAGGATGTGAAAGAATGGGAGGAGGATTGGAGGGAAAAGAGTAGCGTGAATGGAAAAAAAGGATGAAAGAAGGAATGATTAAGGAAAAGAATAATTGGAGAAAACGAAAGATTAATTGAAGAAAAGGAAACGAGAATTGGAGAAAACGAAAGAATAACTAAGGAAAAGGAAACGATAATGGAAGAAAACGAAAGAATAACTGAAGAAAAGGAAACCGATAACTAAG